CCTTGCCACTGAGCCAGTTTACTTTCAATTAACATATAATAATAAATAAACAATATAAAGGAAAAATAACAACGCTCTTTAAAACGCGCGCTATTTCAAATTTGCCCAATCTGCTTGTGCCACGCCATCGTCCCTGCCAATTTCCTGAAACACAAACCAATAGAGCAACGGTTTTTGAAACGTGGGGTTTGGGTAGCTATGGAGAAATAGCGAATAGCTCGTTTCCTAATATAAATTAGGCGCGAGTATGTCTTCTTCTTCGTCTCAAGATGCTGAGTGTGATGGTGTTGCTCTGAAGTTCTGATTTTTCCTATTTACAAAAGCCCCAATTTAAGAAGCTGGGAAACCTAGAATTCGAAAATGGCAAAATCGTGTATGGCTTATGAAAATGCAATTAACTACCATGGACAGCTTGGAAACTTCATCATGAGTATGAATATGTAATTTAAAATGCAAAAAGAGGCTTAGAATCAAGAACACGAATTCAAAATATTTGATGTACAGTTTCACTTGTAACTACCAGTTTAAGGAGCTTTGATTGAGGTTATGAATTGGGACACGTTCAAAATGGTCTCAGGAAGCTATTGGTACAAAAATTTTGGCTTCAGAAGGTGTCTAGCTTTGATTTCAGATTTGCAATATATGTCCATTTTTTCAAAATTGCCAATGGCCTTTGAACGAGTTTTGTGCTATGTTCTTGGTAGGGTTTGACTCAATGATCCTTATGGAATTGAATAGGCTTGTTAACTCTCCTTAATCCATGCTTGAGAAAGAATTGGCATTAGGGTTTGTCCATTAACCATTTTTTCCTAACTTCTAGCCAAAACCTAGACTTAGTATGAAAATGAACCTTGGCCTGATTTTTGAGTTGGTTCATGATGTATAGAACTTGTCCAAATTCATTTGACACCATTTCATTGATTTTTAAATTTTATTTGAATTTTCAATGAATTAAAATGAATTAAATCATCAAAAATTAAATAAAATAAAAAAGTCAACATTTGGTCTTGAAATCAACCATGGGCCACGTGTGTGGCATGACAAGGATGGACAAAGTGAGAAAAATGGGGCCCTTTTGTCAAAATTGGATTTTCAATGATAGTTGACTTTTGCCATTTCACAAAATTTTCCCAACTTCTACAAGGCATAACTTGCTCAATTTTTAAGCTTTTCACATGTTCTTGGACATTTTGGAAAGGTCTTTGAGTCCTTTAACCAATGCCTTTGGTCCCATGTCATTTTGATTTACCAATCTCAAGTTATGGTCTTTGACTTAAAGTCCCTTTTTGTTGACTTTTGAAAATGACCTATAATGTTGAAATTGATAACTTTTTGTGAGAGCATTTCTTGGACTTGAAGTATGAAGATGAGTTGTAGGAAATGTCTTTCTCTTCAAAATGAGCTTTGGATGGAATTTTTCTGATAATCCATGTGAAAGTTATGCCCTGGTCAATTTCAGTTGACTTTTTCAGCTGTCCAAATATAGCAACTTTTGCATCTTTGATGATTTCTGAGCCAAATTTTGAGAATCATGATCAAGTATTGATCAAATTATGTTTGTGGCTTCAAAATGATATATTGACCAAAAATTTGAACTTTTGACTGCCAAATGACCATTTTGCCCCTACAGTTGACTGTAGTGCAATTTAGGGTTTTGACTGTGCAATCTTGAGCTGAATGCCTTGAAACTTGATATGGGGATGCTTGACCATGTTTGTAAGCCTATGAGACTTGATTGAGCCTTTGAAAACTTCCTTTTCTTGATCAGACTCAAAACCCTAATTTTGACTGTTTAGGAGACTGTTGCAATGCACAACCCTTGGGGAACTTTTCTAGCTTGGCTTGACAATTTTTTGAAGAATATGGGAGGGCAAATTTTGGGGTATAACAATGTGCATTATGTGTTATTGGTGTGAATGTTACATATGTGATAATTGTGATTGCTTATCTTTGAATCTTGAATCATTGAGCAATGTTATATATGTAATCATGTGAATTGTGTTGAAGTATGTTGAATAAATGATTATGTGAAGTATAATGAATTCATTTGATGTATGTTTGTAGTACATTACTTATTATTATATATTTCCATAATAATATGAATTATCACCCTTCTATTGGAATGACATTTTATACGACATCGTTCAGGTATCGAGGATAGTGGTAGTGCTTCTAGCAAGGAGTAGTCGAAGATGCTAGTTCATTATTTATCCGTTTTACTAGGTAGTGATTCATGCTCTGGTCTATGTAACACGGGGAACATTTAAATTCATGTTTATTTTATGATATTCATGTTTATTTGAGAGATGTTGTTATAATTTCTGAAATATTTTATGTGGATTGAGATGTATGTGGTGATGGCCTTTAGTGTCTAAGATTTATGTTATGATTGTCAGTGTGAGATTTCAATCATTAGTCTTATTATTTTGAGTTGAAAATTAATCTGCTGCGAGATGCATATGTGTTATTGTATGGAACATGATTCTAAATGCATGTTATGATCATGACCAGTGTATTTGGGTTGTTGTCGTGAAGTAAATGTGACGCCCTTTTTGATATGCATGGTATTTACTCTGATTATGCTATTTATTTTATGCAGGAGTTTAGAGGGTGTTACACACGTGATGTATCCATATTTTTCCGAGTGGGTCATGCTCATCTGACAGTGCTTCGCAGAGATCTATATGTCATACTCAATAGAGAGATGAGACATTGCCGAAGGCAACCTTGGTATGTCCATATTATAAACCATCTTACTTGAGGCACATAATGTCTTGGGTTACCGGTGACGATAAAGAAGAAGTATGGGGTTAGAAATTCACACTAATTTATTTTTATTTGTATCGTGGTGACATTTTCGATTAATTGATTACTATTTGAATTGGAATTACATTACTACAATTAATATGATGTTAATATATCCTTAATGTAAGTGGCCTAAAAATAATAATTTGGGACACTTGCCAAATATTAATAACTCTCAAATATTTTAAGGAATTATTCCAGAAATGCATCTACGGAATCACTCATAAAATTTTACAAAGATGCATCTCCAATCCAGTTTTTAACAAATTTAAAGTGAATGGTTCACTTCTGAAGCACAAAATGCTTTCAAGAATTAGACTGCATCTACGTAAATTTTTATTGATGATTCCTTAGATACACCTCCAAACTACTTTTTTTTATCAATATAAGATAAATGACTCACTTTTAAAAATATTATATGTATTTTAGATATGTCTGAAAATATATTTCATTTTGTTCATCATCATATAGGATGATGGATAAACAATATCCTTTAAAAAAATTATAAGTGTCAATGAAATTTCTCTTATACTTAATTTAATATTGATTGATTAATGATTTTTTTTTTAATTTTTTTTTAAAATCACATAAATGTCAGAGAAAAAACTTTGATTTAAAAGTATTTTAAATTTTTAATTTGATTTTCTAATTTTTTGACGTGTCATCATTAATGAGATCATGTCATGATCTAGATAAGAATAAAATTATATTAATATTTTAATTAAATTTCAATTAATTTATTATTTTTCTTGACTTAATTTTCATTTTTTTTTATTTTAAAAAACCAAAAAAGTTATTTAATTTATTTTTGGTCAAAAAATATAAAATTTTAATTAAATTAAAAATATCATTTTAATTTTGGTCAAAAAAGTTGTGGTACATCCTTATCACATTATTAAAATAATATTACTTTATAAAAAACAATGATTTCTTTTGTTTTAAAAAGGCCAAACATTCATTCACATACTAAAACAAAAAAGTTTAAAAAAAAAGTATTTTTAGAATAAAACAATTACTTAAATTGAATTTTAAACAAAACTAAAAAGTACTCTTTTGAATATAAAATAAATAGTCTAAAATATATACAGTTATTTTAATATGATTTTACTATTCCAAATTTACCCCTATATCAATTCATTGAATTCTTATAACTTTTAAAATAAAATAAAAAATTAAAGTTTAATTGATATGTATTGTTAACGTAAAATTTTTTACACGATAAATGTATCATAATTATCCAATTTTATTATTTTAAAAGAAATTAAAATCAAAATTAAACATTTGAATTAATTCAATAGCGGTGATTAATTAACTGTGTAAAATTTTTTTTATATATAATTACTGTATTTCAATTAAATTCAAAATTAAATTAAAACGAATGTATTTTTTTTAGTAATTTGAATATATTTAGATACTATTGTATATTTTAAAACCAGAACATACTCAAAGAAAAAGCGAGTGTACCATATAGAGCGACAACCTTGAGGGAGATAAATTGTAAGAACGGAGAGCATGTCAAATAATCCGTGGCATATGTAACTTGTTTTGTTTCTAAGATTCGGAACATTATTTTCTGACATTTTTACCCTCAAAATCCCGACCCCGTAACCGTTTCGTAAAGTCATCGTATAAGGATAATCTCGTCTTTATCCAACCCAATTCAGTCTTACGTGTCTTACCATATCTGCTCATGTGCTCTGCTTCTTATACCTGACACACTCTAGAAACTCTTCTTTCTCTCACATCCACCGTCCATTTCTTCATCCAACAGTTCTTATCATTTTGTAAATAACCCATATCTTTGTCCGGGTTCTTGTTTTTTATCCTTTATAAACCCTAACCCCACACTCTCTCTCCTGTAAGTCTCGCTCGCTCTCTTTCCCGCTTCCTCTCTCTCTCTCTAAACCTCAGTCCTTTTTTCTCCCTTCTTAGATCTTTCACTGATTCTTTTCTGTAATTTTATCCCCTTTGATTGTTCCGATTTAATCTAATTTTCTGGTCTTACAAACAGGTCGAGGTTTAGTTTGAGTAACTGTTGTTGTTGTTGTATTCAATTTTTCATATATTTTTTTTGTCTTCATTTTCTGTGATTTATAAACTCGATTCTGAATTTTGTTAAATTCGATTCGTTAACGAGTTGAATTAACTTGGCGTGACTGTAAATTCAAACTTGTGAAGAGGTTGAATTGTGTGAAATGCCCTCCTCTGAGATGAGGCGAACAACCAGAGTGTTCGGTGTGGTGAAAGGCGGAGACACCTCCAGCGTGTTAAGGTCGGGACGGCGATTGTGGCCGGATTGTGACGAAAGAGCCAGTAGGATGACAATTGGAGATGATTGTGGAAAGAAACCGGAGAAGAAGAATGTGAATGATGAGGATTGTGATAGGTTTTTCGGGACAGTGTATAATAGAAAGAGAAAAAGAATCGTGGAGGATGGAGATTGTGACATTTCCGTGTTTCAATTTCGTCGGGAACAAAGGATCATGATTGATCCATCTGTGATTGTGGCTGTTGTGAAGCCTTGTTACGATGACATTAGTTTGTTTTCCTTTTTCTTGTTCGCAGTGTTGACATGCATTATGAGGTTCCGTCTCACATTCATGGATCTCTATGCTTTTGTTCTCTCACAACCCATTCGTTCTGTTTATGCTTCAAGAGGGATTCAATTCTTACAGGTATAAATTCATTGATGTGATTTATTTATTTACTTTCCCTCTATGTCAGTCATGAATTGTAAATTGATGGAAATCGTATGGTTATTATTGGTGGTAAATTTTGTTTATTTTATATGTTTGGTATAAAAAATTATTATTAATTTTTTTCTTTTTCTTAAATATTTTTTCATACCTATCCTACATTTGTTGATTTATTTTCTGGAATTTATTATTTATGGTAAAAAAATAAAGTGGGTTTTTCTTGTTATATTTTGGTACCGTAAATGGGTGGATGCAGGGCTAGATTTGAAAAAGGTATCATAAAAATGTGAAAAAATAATTGAATTTCAATTGTTATGTCTGCTTAGGTTTGGTCCACCACTTGATTAACTTTCTCTGCTCTTGACACTATATGATTTTGATTTCAATTCAAGACTCTAGATTTCTAAACATTGAATTTGCTAGGTTTTATTTATTACCAATGGTAAAAGTAAAAATAAAAATAAATTCCAGTATCTATCTGCTGATTGACTTTACTGTTCCTATTTACCCTGTGATCTTGCATAACAGATAAGTTTAATCTTCTTTCAGGGTTCTGTTACTGCAAGTGTTGGGATTTGCCAGTTTTTCGGGGTCACACAGTACTTGCCGTTATTCTGCGTTGATTTTTCTGCCATTCCTCTCTGTTTCAAATCTCTGCACTCTGCATTGCTCTTGAGATATATGTTCAGGTCATGTTTTCTCATATACAATCCGATAAATGTTCCTAGAGATGTCGAGGAGGAAATTGATCTTTCAACTGACGAGGATGAAATTGATCTTCTAGCTATCCTGATGGAACTGCGGAGTCTGTGCAATTCCTACAAGAAAGAAGCTTCTGAGAGTAAAACTATCAATATTGCCCCTGAAGTTATCGTCATTAGTGACGATGACAATCTATCTTCACATGGATCTGTCAAGTGTTCCAAATTTTCCGGTCAAAATGTACAAAGTGAAAACGTGAACTCTAACATCGTTCAAACGAGGAGAACTTCACTTAGGATAAGGGAACCTCAGAATCATTCTATGAAGAACAGAAGGAACAACACATTACCTTCTTATCCAAAGAGCAGACGGGAAAAAAGTAGCGCCGATGTTGCCTTTGATAAGAAACATAAAAATTCGACTGACGGTTGCACCGGTGTTAGCATTTCAGAGGCGAATTCTGCCATGGAGGATTCAAAAGAAGCAATTGTTCCATCTTATTGTTGTACAAATATACTGATTGTCGAAACCGACAGATGTTACAGGGTAGAAAGAGCCGTTGTCATTTCTGAAGAAATGTCTGACTCAAGAGAGTGGCACCTCGCAGTAAAGAAAGATGGGTTGACGTGCTGCACTCTCAAGGCTGAAAAGGTAATGAGACCCTGCTCTACCAATCGGTACACACATAATAAAATGGTGTCACTGATCAACGGGTGGAAGCTAGAGTTTGCTAATCATCGAAACTGGATTGCATTTAAGAATCTTTATAAGGACTGTTCTAAACGTGAAATTCCAATTCCTGCTGCAAAATTGATTCCAGTACCAGGTGTTTGTGAAGTTCCTGACTATGCAGACCGTTATACTGCTCTCTTCAACAGACCAGATTATTATATATCTGCAAATGACGATGAGTTTGAACGAGCAATAACAAGGAAAACTGGAAATTATGACATGGATTCAGAAGATGAAGAATGGCTGAACAAGTTCAATATTGAGTTTCAAGAACATGTTTCAGAGGATAATTTTGAGTCAATTGTTGATGCTTTAGAGAAGACTTATCATTATAATTCAGATGATTGTTATGATGAAAAAATTGCGACTTATTGGTGTCAGAACTCTGTTAGCAAGAAGGTTATTGAAGCTTTACATAATTATTGGATTAGAAAACGGAAACAAAAACATTCAGGGCTGCATAGGATTTTCACGGTAACTTTCCCATCATTCTATTGCACATTTTATATGGAATATTTCACTTCATACCCATGCAATATCAATGTTTTAATTTCAATGGTTAATCTAGAACATTTCAAGATTCACAAGATAATTTTTAATGCCATGTTTCATCCGAATCTAAGTTTGCTGTTATTTAGATACCAAGCTGGGTTTATTGTTGTAAACTGCAGGTCAATCTTATCGTATCACTGACATAATTGTTTTAATTTATTGTATCAGAGTTATCAATCAAAGATATCTCCATTTGTTCCCAAGCCGTTGCGGCGAAAGAAGAGATCGTTTAAGAGACGTGCTAGTAACAGCCAACTTCAACGTGTTTTGCAATGTAAGTTTAATGATTTCATGTTGTAAATAGGAATGTACAATGCAAATTCCTTTCTGCTAAAACATAGTTAACTTGATTGTTTAGGTATTTCCATCTGTTGTGAAATTCTGGTGTCTACATAGATAGTTATGCAATCTTCATGCTTTTAAAAACTCACCTTGATCTATTCATTTACAGCCATTAAAAAGGATCAAGATGTTTTGGATGAACATAAAAAAGCCTTTGCTAAAGTCGAAGCTGCTAAAGAGGCTGCAAACAAAGCGATGGAACTTGCAATAGAGAAACGCACAAAAGCTCAATCTCTTACACACAATGCAGACCTAGCAATGTACAAAGCCACAATGTTAATGAGAATAGCTGAAGCAACTCAGGCTGGATCATCTGTAGATGAAGTGGCAGAAAGTTTTCTTATTTGACTGGTAGAAAACATTCCATATACTAATTATAATTATAATGATAAGTTTCTAACCCAATTTTCATTGCAGAAAGGCTTACATCCAATTCTTATTTATTTGTTAATTTATTTTTTTATTGTTAATTGTAATTATATATAATTTTTACTTCTATTTGTATGAACATATTGTCATAGAATACAACCTCACATCAATTTTTCGTCTGATTAGATGAGTTGATTAACTTGAAGAAAAGACGGAAATAGAATAAAAAAGATGTTTAATTTTAAGCTTTATTTTTGTTCATGTGATTTCCCTTTCTTTGAAACAAATCCTTTTAAAAAATCTTCAAGTAACATAGATTTTGATAATTAAAATTATTGACAAAGTAATGTTTTTTTTGCACATAAAAGGTTTTTAACGTGTGCTTATAATTTTTCCATTTAAATATATTTTTTCTATTAATGACTATATTTTATAAAATTTATTTTGTTTTTATTTTCATTTTTTTCATTTAAATATATTTTTCTATTAATGACTATTTTATAAAATTTATTTTGTTTTTATTTTCATTTTTTCCAGTTAAATATATTTTCTATTAATGACTATTTTATAAAATTTATTTTGTTTTTATTTTCGTGATTTTGTAAAAGGAAATACCAAATAAAATATTATTTTGATATTTCTTTTAGATAAATTACGAAAACATGAGCGTGGAGTAAATATATACCAAAAATGATCTATTTATAGATTGGAGTTATAGTCACATAAATTATAAAAATGTTATATTAGTTAATTAATTTATTATTTTCATACTCTTATTATAGAAAAATTTAACGAGCCGTTTGAAACATGAAATAAAATAATATTTTTTCAGTACTAATATAAATTGACTAAAGAAAGATTAAAATATTAACAAATTTTTCATTGAAAACATTTTGTAAAACTTCAAGAATAAATTAAAAATTAAATTTTAATTTATCAAAATATCAACCATTATTTAGTATATTTTATTGAATGATATTTAATTTAAGCTTTTCTTTAACATGAGTTATGTTTTTCTTTAACATTGTTTTTTTTTTTGTTTGATTGATGCAGGAGCAACTCATTTCAAGAGATGAATCGGGATATGATGACTCAATTTGAATAAGAATGTCATTTGTAATAATAATACATGAGCTAGTAAGTGCTTTTTTTCATTTAAATTTTTTTTTAAGTGCTCTTAAATATGAGATTTTATTTTATTTGAAAATTTGTTCTATTTTTGTTGGAATAAGTAAGAGATATCATTCAAACTTGTTTCTGGAATACTCTTACATTATGATTTCATTTCTCTTAATTTTATATTATTTTTAAAATTTAAAATATTGTGAGCGTATGAATTTATTCGTATAATTTTTTTATGAGTTTTCAAAACTCTTTTATCTATTCTGAGATGTTTTTATTTTTCCTTAAATCTTTCCGGCCTTGTACCATCTTAATATCAAGATAAAGGAATTTGACACTTACGCTCATATATAGTCTCATTCTGTCATTTCAATATTTGGACGATAACTATTATTGTAGGTAAATTTAATAAGAGGATGACAAATCATCTTAACTATCTGGATTGTCTAATCCACAAACTCTCTAGAAACCCTCTAAAATTTGAATAGTCATCTCTATTTGTTCATCTTGTCAAATGATGATATGCATAATTCAATTTTAACTTAGTGCCAAAAACTTCATGTAACACTCTAAAATGAGAAGTTGTAAACTCTCTAAAAATGTGAAGTGACCTTCAAATCTAGACATAACACAATACCTAAGCTTAATTTTGCAGTAGGTCAATCTCTTCAATATTGATTTCTACAATATTTTGCCATGTTAAAAAGTTAGCATGTGTTGGTATCTAAATAAAGTCATACTACAGTTGAGTCTTTGATATAATGTGTTAAAATAATTCTACATTATTGATCGAGTCCCCTACTAAATTTTTTATTTTAAGGTCTCTTATTGAATGAGTATTTTCTTTTGGTTCAAAGTCCCTAATATTATTTTTAGAGGTCTTAAATACCGTAATTTTTTAAATAAATTTATTTGGAATAAAAGATATATATATATATATATATATATATATATATATATATATATATATATATATATATATATATATATATATTTATTTGCAATTTTAGTCCTCTTATTATCTGTTTTTTTCAATTTTGATTCTCCATTTTAAAAATCGATTTTTATAGTCTCTTTATTTTGTTTTTTTTGAGGATTTTAGTCCTCCTTCGTATCATGTCGTCAACAAATGATCCATAACTATGGTCAATAGATAAAATTGAATCAATCAAATCTCTGGTCATGATGAGAATTATTGGTCTCCCAAAGAAGAAAGACAAATAATGAGTCTAAAAACAAATAATTTGCCCAAATTACTACAAACAGTGAAATATCAAAAATACGATTAGACACAACAAGCGAACATACAAAGATAAAAGGATGTCTGAGTGACTGATACTTAAATACTTAAAGAACAACACCTAAAATGTCACTATTACCATTACCATGTCATTAAAAATGCTCTCAAATTTGAAGAAGGACTAAAATCCTTAAAAAAAATAAAATAAAGAGACTATAAAAATCGATTTTTAAAATAGGGAATCAAAATCAAATAAAAGAAATAATAAGAGAATCAAAGTTGCAATTAAGACTTTAAATTTTAAATTTTATATATTTCAACTTAGCAAAGTATTTATAATTTTACTACATGAACTATACCCTAACTCACTAAAAGCCTTGATAATTTGAGACATAGTTCTTAAATTATTTTATTAGTTATTTTTTTCAGGTTTTTTAGGTACTCTCTATCTCTCTCATCCTCCTTATTGTTTGTTTTTTAATGACAACTACAGTATACTAAATCAACGGTTTTACTGCCTCAATATTTAGACTTACGCTAGACCACACACTACCACTAAAGAAAATCAAATTTCAAGGTTATAGTTGAAAATGAACTGTAAACTAAGTAAAACATAAAAAATAAAAATAAAACTCTTTTATTTATTTATTTTAATTTCAAGTTAAAAAATCTGGTAATTTTTTTTTAATTCCTTCAGTATACTCTATTTCAAAATCAAACACACGATAACAAAAATTTCCATCTAACAAAAATATGTTTTGAAATTAAATTTTTAACACCCTTATTTAAAACACTCTTTACAGCTTTGCTATAGGTTTTTAATAAAAATGATTTTAAAAACAAATCATCTTAAAATTTTGTAATGCATAAAACAACGGCTAAAATCTCTTTTTAGATAGTATTATATTTTAATTGGGCTGGAGATCAAGTTCCAGAATAATATCTAAAAACTTGTTTATTATTCGTGCTTGGAAGTAATTGTTTTAATATACCACCAATCCCAAGGTCTGAGACACACTACCATGGAAAAGACATTTAACAACAGCTGAGAAAGATATATAATCACGCGGGACCATGCGTTGTTATGTAGTGTGTAATTGTATATTCGGTACTTACAATCACGGTCCATTGACCGTCGTAGTAAATTGGAAAGCGCGCGCCTTATAACAACGGTTATTCCTATCAATCATTGTGATATTTTATTTGAATAAATGTCAAATTCTCATACCAGAATCAACACTAAACCAATTTTGAACTGATATCAAAACTTGTATTACAATTCTGATAATGGTGATGAGGATGACTATGATTGGTCTAATTTTATCTCAGCGAGATGATTTAGATTTGATTATGGTTTTTGATCATGTAATGAAAGTCTTATGCAATGAAGTTTTAATATGCTTAGCTCTCTTAAGGTTATCAACTTAAACATTCAACTTAACTTATCAGCTTAAACTACAAAATATATAAAACACATAATGAAAATTATTGCAATGAACTTACTCGTAAGAAACCTTCTGATAGTTGTATATTCCTGCATCTTCATCTTTTACATTTCATAACAAAGTAAATATTAAACATAAAGGATATAAGAAAACATAATATTTTCAAATTTTAAACCTTAATTCAACTATTACATTTTATAACAAAGTAAATATTAAATATAAAGGAGATAAGAAAACATAACATCTCCAAATTTCTATAAAATCTCCCTGACTTCAGTTTGTTCTTCAAATTCTTATTCTTCTTTTTTGAATCTGTATACATAATCTTTAAATATTCAAGAGATTCCAACTCTGACATCATATTACTCTCATCTTCCAACTTTTGTTCATCATTCCATATGAACAAATTACATATTTCACCACTCCACTAATGTGGACATCTCTAAAAAAGTATTCATTTATTTTGACCCCTCTTACATTGATACGAAACCATACGACTGTCACAATCACATAAATTTTCAGATCGAGATTTTACACCTTCGGATGAGTTACTCTTCAAATGCGACATTGAGACGAAACTGGACAACAACAATGAGTGCTAGGGTTGTTTCCAGACGATGTCGAAGGTGTTGGTGTTAGAGTTGTTTCTTTTATAAGTGAAAGAATGGGTACTTAATGTTTAATACTCCATCCGTTTCAAAATGAATGTCGTTTTAAAGAAAAAAAATTATTTCAAAGTGAATATCATTCTCACTTTTCAATGTAGTAATAATTGCAATTTTTTCAATTGTGTCCTTTAATTATTAGTTTGTACACTACTTCCAATACATTAATAAGGCTAATTTAGTAAAAGTGCAATATCTCATGACAATATTATTATATTTCTTAATTTGTGTGCAAAAACCTTAAACACACTCATTTTGAAACGGAGGAAGTATATATAAAGAATCGTCAGTGTGTAACAACGGCTTTACAAAAGATTCGTAGTTATATCCCTACTATTTTCTAATTATATATAAATATAATTGAAAAGGTGTGTATTAACGTAAAAGGGATAAACTATTTGAGGGAGCTGAGGATCGAACTCAGGAAAGCTGAACTCTATCATCATGGTTATGGAATTAACCGTAACTATAATCTTAAATTTTCAATTAAAAAATAAAAAATTGTTG